ATCAATGAGACAAAAAAAAAAAAAAAAAAAGAACCTTTCTTTGAAGTCTGTGTTTTCCAAATTTCCTTGACATCACAGAGCCCTTTTGTTATTGTAAAATCTATGAACATTCCTGTGAACCAGTTTGCCCTGAAACTCAGGAAAACACTGATCTAGAGGCAGACTCCCAAGTCTGACACATAGCACGGCATTCAAAACCAGAACATCCTACTTATTTATTCCACTAGTACTTTTTTTTTAGAGAGATATTTTTTCTATAGGGTTCATGAACTCTCCAGAGAGACAGAAAGTGAGAAATCACCCCCCCCGGGGGGGCACAACCCTTTGTGCTCCAGATTTGGGGCATGCATATACACACACTTGGTGTGAGTTTTAAGTTGCTGGGTCCAGGACTGGAACCACAGTCAATCATGTGGGAGTCTAGCAACCATAACCATCATGCCGCCATCTGCTGGCTGTTCCACTAGTACTTTCCACTTTTTTTTTTTTTTTTTTTTTTGTATTTTGTAGAGATTTTACCCAACATGATATACACACATAGCAGGCAAGTTGAAAATTCTATACACGTCACCACCAACAGGCAACAAACCATATCTGTGTCCCACAAATGGAGTATATGTACCATAATTTTCAATCCATTCATCTGTTTATGGACATTTAGGCTGGTTCCATGTCTTAGCAATCATAATAATAATGCCTCAATAAATATAGTTGTGCAAGAACTTTCCTACAGAGCATTCTCCTGTCCTTTGGGTAGATATCCAGGAGTGGAGTTGCTGGGTCATATGATTGTTCTATTTGAAGGTCTTTGAGGAATCTCCATATTGTTCTCCACAGTGGCTGGACCAATTTACATTCCCACCAACAATGTAGGAGAGTTCCCCTTTCACCACATCCCCACCCACACTTATCATTTTTGTTTTTATAATCTTCGCCATTCTGACTGGGATTAGGTGGTATCTCATTGTGGTTTTGATCTGCATCTCCCTCACAATGAGGAACATTGAGCATTTTTTCATATACTTTTTGACTGTTCATGTGTCTTCCTTAAAGAGTTGTTTATTCAGCTCATTTTCCCATCTTTTAATTAGGTTAATCATTTCTTTTGGGTAAGCCACTTGAGTTCCCTGTGTATTCTGGTTATCAGTCCTTTATCTGAGACATAGTTAATAAAAATTCTCTCCCATTCAGAGGGTTGTTGATTTACACTAATTACTGTGTCATTTGTTGTGCAAAACCTTCTTAATCTGATGTAATCCCACCTATCTATTTTGGGGGTTATTCCCCGTGCTTTGGGGGTCTCTCTTAAGAAATCTTTGCCTACTCAAATGTCTCTCAAAGTTTCCCCAGTGTTTTCCACCAGTAGTTTTATAGTTTGCAGTCAGGTTTAGATCTTTGATCCACTTTGATTTGATTTTTGTTAATGGTGACAGGGGTTCAGATCCATTTTTTTGCAGGTGGATATCCAGTTTTTTGAGCACCATTTGCTAAAGAGATTTTCCTTTTCCCACTGGGTTGACTGGTACCCTTTGTCAAAGATGAGTTGGCATGGGAACCAGCAGTTAGCGTAATGGCTATGTCGCTGGACTCCCACGTAGTCGACCGCGGTTCGCGTCCTGGACCCGGTGGCTTAAAACTCACGCCGGGCGCGTGTGCGTGCGTGCCCAAGATCCCGAGAGGAGAATGGAGGAGAAGGGATTGTGGCGTGACCATCCCCCCTGG